AGGAGCAAAGAGACCCAGAACACAAACAGCTGAACCATATCACAAGATCAAGCTTCAACTTCAATGTTTAAAATATCAGGACAAGCTAAAACGTGTCAGACCAGGTTGTGCCTAAACGTTTGCAGTATGGATGAACAAAGTCTGCGAGATGTAGTGAGAAGTGGAGGACACAAGTCAAGTCTAATGACTGATGAGAAAACAATAGTAGTTCCTTTAGTTTGTGTTTGCTGTTATCCCCATTTGAATAATTATGTCGCCCATCTCTCTGGTAGCAGGCTTGGACATCTTTTGTTCCAAGCACACCCCAGCCCCACCTTGTAGTGTCACACGGTGAGGTCAAGTTGGAGTTTTTGTCCTGTTTCCATGTCTTGTCATTTCCTGTTTTATTTTGAAAGGTTAACTCTCCTCTCGTTTCAGGTCACTTGCCCTTCCTCATGTGTCACCTGTCTGAGTGTCTTCCCTGATTCCTGATTGTGTCCACCTGTTTCCCATTTGCCCTCATGTGTCTTATAGTCTGCGTCTCCCTTTGTCTTGTGCCAGAGTGTTTCGTTCTGTTCGTGCACCCCAGCCAGTCATCATAGTTCTTGCCTTGCCTTGTCTTTGCTGTGTCGTATGTATTCTTTACCTCCATGCGAGTGATTTTTTTGTTTGTATTTTCATAGTTTAGAGAAATCTGTTTTGTCAAGTTTAGAGCAGTTTTTGTAGCCTCCTTTTGGAGTGATTTTTTGTTCTAGTTGTTCATGCTTAGATGTTATAGTAGAGCCTCTGTTTTTTGAGAGTGTTTTTAGTTAGTCTCTATAGTATAGTGTTTAGCTCTTGTCTTCCTCCTTGTGGAGTGATTTTCTGTTGGTTTATTCCTTTTTGTTTCTGCAGTTTTGTCCCTCCATTTGGAGTGGTTTTTGTTTATTAGATTATTTTCCTGATAAGTTTATTCTAGCCTTGAGAGTATAAATTCCATAGCTGGTTTATTTTGTTTCTCACCGCAGAGGTTGGAATATTTAATAAAGTCTGTCTAACTGGACATTCTGCATCTGAGTCCTCTTTATAGTCCAGGCCTGACATGTAGTAGTATTTGCAGATTTGCTCCAATGAAAGCCCATCTATCAGTTCAGCTCTCCATCCATCCATCCATCCATTATTTATATCTGTTTATCCTGTGTGAGTGTGTCCCAGCTCACATTGGTCCTGCTGCTTTAAAATGGGCCATGCATTTCTGAGCCTGCACATATGTGCATAATATAGCGTTTAATTTTTGCCAGCCTAGTTTTTAGCCTTGAGACCCATCAGTCAGTCAACCACATCACTCAGCTACCTACACAGCTAGCCAACCAGTCAGAGAGCTCGTCTTTTGAAGTGTGTGTCCTATCAACCCAGTTTCCCCGTCTCTGTGGGTATCACATGTTGTCAGACCAACAGCTGAGCAACCGATCGGCATTCCCATTAGAGTCACTTCACTAGAGCACAGTCCGTTCCTCTAAGATATCACCTTAAAGCCTGTTCATTCACAAATTACAGCGAGCCATCTGTACAATGAGCAGCCTGTTCACAATTTGATATGGCTAATTGTGAGCAGGTGCACTAAGCTGACCATCAATTACAAAGCAAGTAGTTTTCTGTGAAACTATTCATCTGGATGTGTTCAGAGGAATCCCCCAAAGGACTGCCGCTCTCAGTCTCACTTTTCTCACTTTTAAAGATCATGCTATGTTGATGACAGTTTATAAGCAGAAAGATCGTGTCAGACTCATTCAAAGCTTAGCACACACTTAACATGCAATTTCAACATAAACAGTAAAGGGATAAATTGAATGAATGCCATCAAGAGGGACATTGATAATTTAGTTAGTAGAAAGTTGTATCTGTTTGTTTGTCTTCCCTGTTTTTCTCTGCTCTGTTCCTGTGTCTCACCTTGGTAGTGAGGATACAGATGCAGTCCATCCTCACCAGTCCGACTGGCAAAGTTTCACCAAAACATCTTCCTGCTGCAACTTTCCTGTTCCACCACTCGGCCGCTTGTTGCTGTTGGGGACATCCTCCTGTCGTCTGTCCGTCTCTGTCTCCTCCTTCTCCTCCTTCTCTTCTTTCATCCCTCAATCTCTCTCTCTCCTCCCTTTCTCATGTCCTCTCCACCTGTCCTTTCATCAAAGCAACTAGAGAGGACTTCTCCGCTAAAATAGAGGCCGCCTCGGAAACATGGCAGCTGTCCCGGTGCACCTCCGCCCGCCCTCTTGTCTTCCAGCTGCTGTCTTCGTTTTATGGCAGCTGGTAGCCACATTTTGACCTCAAAGTGTGCATGGCTCAGAATATGCATCCGCACTCTCGCAGAACACACTCGCCACACACACAAAAAAAAAAAAAAAAAAAAAAAAACGTGCAGAGACAGGCGCAGAAATGCATACACATGGATGCACAGGCAAACACACACGCAGACAGACATGTATACACAGACACAAGCACACACACAAGTACATATACTACACACACACACACCACTCTGCTGTTTTATCAGGTCAGTCACTGTTTGGCAGGAGACTGAGTGAACAGTAACAGCGGTATAGCAATGGATGCTCTACTTTCAACGTTGACTGTGGGTATCAAGTTAGAGCTCCATATGCACCCTGAAGCTCCTCAGAGATGGAAATTCACTCACTCGGGATATTCGGCTTTTTTAAAGATGCACGACATCACTACAGTTATTGTTGAATTTGAAACATTACAATATAATATGTTACACTCTACAAGACCAGCAAACATACACACTATTTTACATTTGTTTCTGTTCCTGTCCTACTCTACTTCTGTCCAGCTCTACCCTCCCTTCGCCCTGCACTCATTGTTGATTCTCTCCCCTGATGCTCACTGCTGCCAACAGAAAGCTGTCTTGCTGCACTGGGCTGTGCTAATGAACATCATTACTGGGTCTCAATTTCTCCTACAGACAGTTGAAATAAGTAATCCTGTTCTGTAGGAGCCAAATTGTGTATTTAGCCTGTGTTTTTTATTTTTTGTTTAGGCTGCACATGTTCTTTTGGTTACTATAACTTCCAGTAATGGGCAGAGGGGTGTGGTCTTACATTATTTACCTGTTCACTTGTTTAAATTCAGACATAGACGGTGAGTAGGGCTCTGATATTTTATGTTTTTTCTCATTTTAAGTGTGTCAGTACAACAATTGCTAGTCAGTATTTTTCTGTTTTGAATAAACAGCAGAAGACACATCTGAATTTCAGGTTGGATTTGTTTGAACACATCACAGTGAAGAGCCTACCTACTCAGTGTTTTACAGATAGTTGTCGCCACGCGTTCATTAAACAGTTCAAAAATGGATAATGAGTTAAATGCTTTTGTTTCAACCCCAGTTTCCAGTAATTATTGGATTAATTATTAAAGCCACTATGATTGATACTTCTACAAAAACAATGTAGTAGAATTAAAATGATCATCCAAATCTGCAGCTTTATGGAGTTTTATAGAGTTGCAGCTCAACGTTTGGCTGTCATGACTTTCAGCCACAACAGGTGACTGCTTTCAGTGAAGAAACTCAACAAACCCACTGTACTGAATATTGGACCATTCACCAGGGGGCCAGAAACACAACTCAACATAACTCAACAAGTTCTCCATATCAGCTTGGAAGGTGATGTTATGTCAGTGTTGTGTTCACAACTTATTTGTGCTGCCTACACGAGGCCAGAAGAACCAGTTACTGCAGGTTTAAGCAACACCTGAGTAATGTATCCGGGGTTAACACCAACTCCAACACAATACAAGCAGTGTACAGCTGGGAGGACAAATGTTGCCTGTGCAGCAGTTTATACAAAACAACTTCAGCATAAAGCAAAGCAAATCAATAACAGCACCACTTCCTGAGATGTGGGCAATCAGCAGCAGATCAAAGCAACATTGTGCCCAGAGTGAATCTGTAGTGAAAATGCCCAAACCACAAAAAACCATTCAATTTCTATGTCAGCAAGATCAACGAGACAAAACCAGTGCCATGAGCTTACCACTGAGCTCTTTCTGCTGACTCTACGGGACAATAAAATGTTACTGAACTGAATTGATTCCTCTTGTCATATTATGTAATGCAATGTAACCCAATGTTCAAACAGCATAAATGATCTGTCCATCTAATTCTGCTCTCTGCAGCCTTTTTGATATACAGGTTCAAAAGAAGACATGTTGTAAAATAAACATGTTTGCCTTATATCAAAACTATTCCCATGTTAGAGCAGTGATATGTTGGACATGAAGCAACAAATACAGGGTAATTTTGGTCGAGAAACTCCCATTCTGTATCATTCAATTGCATTAAATCCTTGTATAAAAGCAATTGATTCATAACTAATAAAATGTTATCATACATGACACTGACTCCTCTGTACTTGCATGAGCAGGGTGAATTGTGCTCCTAATTTCCTTATAAGCTGCGATATTACACCAAATGACAAACACAAAACAAAATGTGGTGTAACACGGTGAAAGAAAAACCTCTGAAGTTTAAACAAAATGGCTTCATCCTATGCAGGATGGTTAGGAAGATTAAAAAAAGAAATACTTATCCAACCCTAGCTCTGACAAAAAGATTTATATACTACTTGACAGATGCCAACAAAATCAAGTCTGAAAATGAAGAATCAGAATATAAGGGGATGAAACCTACCGAGAAATCCCTGCGACCTAACCCCATATAAGCACCAATAATGGGAGCATCATACAGTACATTGCCACACCTGACAAGCTCTCCTAGGCACCAACAGATAACAGAGGATATATTTACATCTGAAAATAGTTTCTCTAAAACTCATGAGAAAAATAATTACTTCTCTTTCTTTTCCAAAATCATGCAGCCAAACTGTAACCTCAAGGTTACCACCCAGTGCCTGGGTTCAGCCTCCTTCTGATAGGAAGCAATCTGTACTTCACGCTGCTTCTAACTGTAGAGGGATTTGCTGCAGGTTTCCTCAGACACAAACACAAAACAACCAGAGATGTCTTACCTTGTTGGGGGTCAGTGGGCTTGCAGCTGGCCTGGGGCTGGGGGAGGTGACTTTTACTGACCCGGGGCTGGTTGGGCTAAGAACAGAGATCAGGGAGAGAGGGTGTCAGGAGGTGAACTCTGAAAACTGTCAGTTATTATTATTCTGTACTATCTACACCTGAACTCCCTGAATGTGACCTCCATACAAAGCATTGTGTATTTTAAAATGTTGTACAACATTTTAAAATACACAAAATACCATTGGTGTAATATATAAGCTAAAGACAATACACCCTAAATGTGGGAAGTCTGCAAATTCAGAGGTTCAGTGACCTAAATATGCAAACCATAAATAATTACAAAAGACAAGTGACTAAAAACAAAATGTGCCCTTAAGTGCCAGAGGTTTTCCATTCAAGAGTCCAACAGCCTAAGGGAATGTACTTCTTTAATCCGCTCAGATTTAAAACAGAGTTGTCTGAACCTCCTTCCAGAGGGCATTTCCTCACAGAGGTGAGCTGCTGGGTGACAATCATCTCTTAACAACATTCAAGGCTTCTGGGTGAAGCCAAACTTTATAAATTAATTTTAGATCCAGTATTAACTCATTTCTCTCGTGCATTTGTTTCAGCTGCGATCAGACTACCAAACCAAACTGTGATAGAGAAAGTCAGCACACTTTCTGCAGCACGTGTGTAAAACTGGACCATAGGTTTCCCCCGTCTTTTAAAATGTCATAATAACAGCTGTTAAGTCTGGTTTGCTAATAAACCCTACTAACGGCTGAAATGTATGCTCATGTTGCACTGAGCAAAATAAATTGCTGGACATACCTCAAATGAGGTCCTTTAGTCAAAGGCCCTGGAGGACTTGTGGGGCTGAGGTTGCTGAAGGTAAATTTTCCCTGGGTGGGGCTAGCTGGACTCGTGCTTTGAGTGACTTTGCCTAATCCTGGGTCTTTGCTGGTCGTGACACCTGTAGAGATGACTGCAGCATCTGTGACTCTGTCAAGATCTGGGCCAGTGCTAGGAGTGGTGTTGGTTGGAGTGAGTTTGTCTGAAGTAGTTGGAGGCATGAATCCCTGAATGGTGCTGGAGACGAGGGCTGAGACTGTCACCAGGTTGAGGTCGGGAGCGGCAGGAAGGCTTGGTGGATTGGTAGAGGTGGTGGAGCTTTCTGAAGAGGTGGTGGCAGTCAGATGTGGCTTTGCTCCATTCAGTGATACTGCAGGAGGTGTTTTTATGGAGCCAGTGGGAGTTTCTACACCATTCACTGTGGCAGCAGAGGGAGAAGAGGGTTTAGAAGTCTCCGCTGCTGAGGCTCCAGACTGGACAGGAGGAAGAGGAGCACGGTACTTGACTTTGGCTGGCTGTGACTGAGGTGTACTGCACTGTGTTGTTGGGGAAGATGGCTTCTTGGGGGGTATTCCAGATGGGATTGGAGGGGCAGGGGACTTGATTGACCTGGGTTTGGGGGCAATGGATTTTGGCTGAGGTGATCCTGGCGGAGAAGCCAGCGGGCTCTCGGGACCAGGGGAGGGCTGTGGCTGGGCTGGGAGTTGTTCTGGCAAGTTACAGGAGGCAGAGAGGACCCCTGGACCATCTAGCTGGTCCCCAGAACGCTTGTTGTCTGTGAGGATGGTCAGCTCATAGTACTCCTGGATATCTGGAGGTAGAAACAGAGAGATTAGAGCCATGATGAATGACTGGAGGGTCCAATGGATTCATAAATTAAGTTATGACCGAATGAATGCACAACTTTGTAAATGATAGACTGACTAATCATAAAACAAATAATGAAGACAATAAGTGAATGAATGAATGAATATCAGTGGGAAACTGTTATCTCTAAATGATGTAGAGCTTTTAGAGCTGAACCGATTATTTAATAACTAGAAATTAATCACCAATCATTTTGAAAATCATTTGGGTAATTTGTTAAAAAAGTAAAAACAAACTCAAAACATTCTCTGCTCCAATCGCAACAATTGGACAATGTGTTGATTTTTTGTTTCATATCTTTGTGAGTTGAGCATCTAAATAGTTTGGACAGTTTGTCAGGCAAAATGAAAAATTTATTTATTTTATTTCATAGACTGAAAAATTGATCTATCAATTGATTAATCAAAGAATATAATTTGTAGCTCAACAATGAAATCATGAATCATTATTTGCAGCCCTATAAAGCCGTTTAAAATATAAAAGAAAAGCTACTGTTTTATAGTATTCTTTAATTCAGATAAAACCAAAATGAAGCAGTCCCCTCATTTTTCTGAGTTAGCTGTGTAATCAAATGAACCACAGCTAATACACTAGTGACCCCTAGTGGCAGCATGAGGATACTTCCACCATAGTTATATAGACCGGTAGCTACTGAAGTATCCTGGGTTCCTCATTTAAAGGAGGAATGAGTAGTTCATCCCACTGTCATTTCCTTTTTCATATGTAAGAGCACTGAGTGACTGTTATGATCAGAGGTTTCACTTCCCCCGCTTAACAACTGACAGGCAATTCTACACCATACACATGGGTGTGAGCTCAGTTTGGTGGCTATAAAAGAGATAGTGAGAAAAAATGATAGAATATGTGGGAAGAGGACAGGGGATAACAAGTATAACAAGTACTATAACACATACAAATGATGATGAAACAGGCATTAAATATCATATGTAAATCAATATATATATATATATATATATATATATATATTAACACACAGACAGAAAATATTCAAACATATTAAATGCTACAGTAGATGAAGAGGAAGTCAGTCTCATGTTAGTTGAAAAGCAATGAACGTCTGCACACACACACACACACACACACACACACACACAATCACCCATCACCAAGACACACAACACACAAACACACACACAAACAACATGCACACACACACACACACACACACACACAGAACAGAGAAAGAGGTGTTACTTTAACAGGTACAGGTGTGGGCGTGGAGCAGGAGCAGGTGGGGCCAGAGACCAAGAACCAGTTTGTTGTCTTACACAGACACACATTGTGGCCTGTGTTTTCCTTCAAAGAAGAAACAGTTCACCACAAGCAGAACTAACTACTTAGACACAGATTATAAACTACTGGGAGGACTTTACACATGCTACACATACTTAAAATGTGTACCTATTTTCTACAATGGGCCCTGTGTTTTATGTGACAGGCCATGTCACGCCCACATCTGTGTGTTCTGATCTCCATTTTCTGGTCAACAGTCATGTGATTAGGCCAGCTAAAACATCTTGTAGACACCATGAGAACTTGTGCTACCACTTACAGCAAACACTATTATCAGTCCAGCCTCCTGTCCGCTGGCCTACTGGCCTACAGATACAGTTCCTGTCTTCTAGCCTTATATACAGTCCCAAACAGACAGCATCCTTCCTGACTAACACACTGCACTACTCCAAGACATGACACTAAATGCAAAATGCAAGACAGGCCGACCTGGCTGCAGCGAAGCAGCACTGAGCACCTGAACTTGTCGACATGAGCAACATGAGAATCAAGCTAAACGGTCAGTTCACCCAAATCATAAAAACCAGTGGCATCAAGCCATGCGGTGAGTTTCTGTTTTTTTCTGTTTTGGTTTTGAGATAATGTAATCCAACATTACATTTGAAAGAACTGCTAACTAAAACCGCTTCACATGAACAATGTACCAACAATGTTATATAACAATGATATTATCAAGAAAAGGTGTGTGTGATTTGGTGAAATTATCCTTTAATCTAACATAGCTGTTGATTTCAATACATTGATCTCTGAAAATATACTGTAATATGTGGTCATGGGTATTCATACAAAAAGAAATAGTGCATAACTGTCTGTAAAGGTCTTTTAATATCAAACATAGACTAAAACAAAGATTATTTTTTAAAGAAACATCCTTAATTTCCATTCACACAGTTAGCAAGACAATCAGCACCACACCTTAAGAATCCATTATAGATAAAAAATCCAACTAAAAAAGAATAATAGGAAGGTCAACAAGCTTGACAGCATTTAAAAGCTCACCAAGGCTTCAAAATCAATAGGTCACATTGTAATACCATGTTTAAATGGGTGTATAAATAGGAGGGAGGAGGGAGTATACAGACAGACAAACAGATATTCTTACCAAGCAGAGCACTAAAGAGCTGACTTTGGAAGACATTGATGACTCTGTCCAGAGACTGCTGGAGCTGGTGATCTTCCTCCAGGTGGCCCTGTTTGGTCCGATTCTGGTTTTGCTGTCTCTGATCTAATTTGGCCCGGTACTGCTGGAGCAGCTCCAGGGCTCGCTGAGCATCTAAACAGAACATAAACAATTAAATACCACGTTACTAATGACAGAGAAGGTAAGTATAAAATTCTCCAGGTGCTCTTCAGTAAAGCAAGGAGATTATGTAGTGTACATTAGACAAAGCCTTAACTTAGGTGGACATGAGTTTGGTTAAAAACTGTGCCTGGTTCAGATCTGGCAGGGTCGTCATTAGGGTGAAGTTTATTAAGAACACCTGGCTGGGAGAGAGTGTCGACACAGGTGTTATTAGTCTGTCAATTGTCTTTTAGCATATCTCATCTCCTTGCTCTTCTGAGGAGCAAATAAAAAATGAAATATGTGAAATATAAGGTGTTCGTTCAGTATCTTTTAAGTACTCTTAATTACAAAGGAGCCACAGGTCTTTGTGTTACATGCTGAACATTCAGCCAGTTCATGGCACACTATTGTATTTGTCTGCATTTTATGGACTGGTAACTACTATTACATTTTATAACCCTGTGTTTGAGTTGCTCTGGTGCAGAAGGGCATGAGGGCAAAAGAGTTTATGTTGTAAAGGAGGGTTGCAAACTGCATTCCAGGCTCCATGGCACTCTGAACAGCTGATTAAAGCAAACTCAGTCTGAAATGTGTCAGCGTTGACCCACACATGCCACCTTCTTTACTGCACGTCAAGCCAAATGGCAGACAGATTTGTGGTGATTTAATCAATATTTACGTATCTATAGGTATAAGTCTATAGTCTATCATTAGCAGCAATCTTTTTGACACAGCATCCAACAAATATAATTCATGCTGAAGCTAAATCCCGTCAATATACTGGCATATCAATGCAGACTAGCATACTGAAAACAAACAGAAGTCATTAAAACATTTTTTGAAAGTGCTACTTTGTGAAACACTTGTGCGCCGAATTTACCACAAGGTCTGAATGACCAGTAAAAGCTCTTAAGTTATGGTCTATAACTTGTGTATGTTTACCAACAAACAATTAAACGTTAAATTGCTGATGTTTAAGAGAAGTTTCGTGACGTTAACTTACAGGCTAAAGAGGAGCGCTTCGCAGAGCTGTAGCAACATCAACGCGAGCTTTTAGAGAGGTTCAAACTGATTTTTTTCAATGTCGTCTCTTTAACAAAATAAAATATATGTTTGTATGTACAACATCGATGGAAATAAAGACAAAGAATTACCCAAAACTACTTTATTTACCTTTTTGTCGAACAGGCATTGTGACACGCACAGTCTTCCTCCCCGGTGCTTGTGTGCGCGCGCGTGAGTGTGTGTGTGGCGCTGTGACAGTCTATCTGTTTTTACAGATGTGTGCGTCTGTCCTGGGACAGCCTGCCTCCAAAGTGGGACACCACACTGACACCACGGCAGTCTGGTGTATCAAGTTGTCTTTTCGGCCAAAGAAAAAAAAACTTCATGAAATGTCCGGGCAAAGCGTCACAGAGTCGGAGAAAAGAGAAAGCGTCAACCGCTCATATCAAATGTTGATTAAACAGTCACCAATTGGACTTAGCACCCGGAGCTGAACGTGTTTCTCTCCTTCTCTTTCACTTTGACTCTCCCTCTGGCTCTTTGGTAAAAAACTAGTTCTCCATTCCTTCATTCAGGTGACTTCACTCAAAACGCTGTCTGACCGGTTCTCAGACGGTCCTATGGGATGAAGACACACACACATGAAAAACGCACACACGCCTAAAAGTGCCTAAAAGACACACAGAAACACACACTCATGCACTCTCATCCAAACACCATTCCAGCAGGTTTGTCTGAGAGGCTCTACATAAGCAGCTTGTGTATGTTGGAGGTATTGTCATGTTAAACAGGTATATTGTGTGCAGTGGATGAAAGCCTGGTCTGTCCCAGGGTCTCCACTGGATCTACATCTAATCCATTCAACTCTGAGTATAGATTTGGGTTTACACTGATTAGACTCCCAGAGATAAACCTATGTAACCTATAAATCACACACTGGTTGGCTAAATTGTATATTAAACTGTAAAGATATAAAAACAGAAAAAGAGAAAAGGTATGGTAAAAATCTAACATCAAAAAAAAAAAGTGTGGGGTGTGTAGGGTTGATGTCTATTTATGGTGCCCACATGCCTGTACACGCACACACACACACACACACACACACACACACACAAAACACTAAGGCAAAGCAAGGCATATAAGGGATCCAACAGAAATGTCACAGGTGTAATCCCACTGGCACTCCAGGCAAGTTCATCCCTGTGTGGGTTTGGTGGTATTGTCATGGTAAACAGTGAATTGGTTGAGTAGATTAAAGGTGCATTATCTCAGGCTTGTCTCTGACACACAGCCTGGATCAACTACCAGGGCCTAGTTTGCTCAAGACAACACATGGAATACACAACATTCATGTGATAAAAGAAAACCAATAGTCTCCAATGAGTATATGTGTGTCAGAAGGGAAGCACAAGGGAAATCGATGTTAGTGCCAAAATAAATTTTTTATCAATTCATGTGATATGGTCGGTTAGCAGTATTTCTTTGCAAACAGGTGACATCCACATATTTTGGTGATAGAAGACAACTATAGCATCATCAAACCATGCTACAGTTATATAAAATAAGTAATATTTCATATGTGAATAAGCTTTGTATGACAGATTGGAGAAATTAACATTTTCATGAAAGAATCTTACAATATTGTTTCTTGCTAGCAGTGACTACGCTGTTTTTGCGTTTCCAGTGATGTGTGCTGCCACTGCATGACTTAAGTCCATGTAAAATAACTGCAAATAACTGTTTAGCCCATTACTAAAAAAGAGTGGTTATTAAAAGTTTGGCAAACGTGAGCTAACGGCTACGTTTGTGTTAGCATTAACTAGCTAACAGTGATTTGACCAATAGGCCAATCACCCCAAAACTATTCCCCTTAAGGACAATGCCAACATGTTGTAAATTATTTTTCTTTTGCTATTGCTGTCAGATGAGAAGTTGACATCACATTCTTTCATCACTTTCATCAAGGGCAAAATTGTCACAACTACATTCTGCTTCACCTGGATTTTGTTCTGAATAAGGATGTTGTGAAAAACTGCCAACTTCACCATTAGGTGCATGCAGTTATACCTGGCCCAACTAATGTTTGTCAATAATTTCAAATACATACTGTGACCTAACTAAACTGCAATGTCTCGTTTTCTATTTCTACAATACAGGTCAAATACGCAAAAAATAATTTGTAGGCTACATAAGACACCATTGAACTAGTTGGAGGTTTTTATTTTTGATGTGTCTTCAGCGCTTGTGCTAAGCTAGGCTAATTGCAACTTTACACTGGTTGTTCAGAGAGGAAACTGTTATTGAGCTTCTCATCCAACTCTGGAAAAGACAGCAAACAGTGGATTTCCCTAAATGTTGGAGTGAACCTTTTTTATACTTTGTCCCAATTGACACATTTATTTGAAACTTTATGATATTGAAACTTTATGATACTTAGTTTGATTCATCCACTGTACAGGCACTAACAGCTGTCTTGAGTAATAAAATTGAAAGGCAAAATAAGCAAAGCTGCTGCCTCACACACGTCAGTCCTGCATGTTGGACACAATATACTATATGTCTCAGTCCTGCCTCTGGACAATGGATCAATTGTAGGGACACTTCATCTGCATACACGTACACACTCATCACACACATATGCAGGCAGCAGCTGAATGCAGGTCATGGGCTCAGTCTCTGGTATTGTTATTGATCAGGTCACAAGAGCTTATTGACTGCTTTGGTGAGTGCACAAAAACTCTCACTCTGTATCTGTTACATGCACAAACACACACACACATACTGATGCCAGCATAATGTATTAGTCCGCGTGGGGGGAAAATATATGCATGATTGTGTAAGTGGGTTGGTCAGTTAGCACACAGAAGTATCATTTTGTCCAAACCAGTGTGTAAAAGACAGAGTAAAGAGGAAAGGGAACAAAGGGACATCATTCTGCTTTCATCAATGCGTGTTAGTGTGTGAATGTGTGTGTGTGTGTGTGTGTGTGTGTGCTATTAGCCTCTATTGTTAATTGTCGGCCTGGACCACAGTAAGCCGAGTTGTTCTACAGAGGGAACTGATGCCAGGAGAACGGTGGGGAATGGTACAAGACAGACAGGGATGAAAGTTTGGCCAATGATACCTATGTTATTATGATCCATTTATGCATGTTATGATACAGTATAAAACAATGTAGTGGAATATAATAATATAGAGGTTTTGTAAAAGCAAAAAGTAAAAGGACAAAAGTAGCATTTGTAAAACATATGTAAGTGTACATAAAGTATTCATTATACAGAGGAAATGCCTATGTGACTGTTATAGGCCTATTATATATTTCTATATTATTGGAGAATTAATACAGATGCTTTAGTGTGTAACCAGAATTTTAATGTGGTAGCTGGTTGATGTGGAGCTGACTTTAATCTATTTCTATACTGCTGGGTAGTCGCAGAGTAAAGCAAACAATATTTCCCTCTGAAGTGTAGTAGAAGCACTAGACCTGGCCGTCCAGCCAAACTGAGCAATCAGGGGAGAAGGGCTTTGGTAAGAGAGATGACCAACAACCTAATGGTCACTCTGACTGAGCTCCAGAGATCCTGTGTGAAGATGGGAGAAACTTCCAGAAGGAGCCCAATCACTGAAGCACTCCACCGATCTGGGCTTCATGGCAGAGTGGCCAGACAAAGCCTCTCCTCAGTGAAATACATCTGTTTGGAGTTTGCAAAGAAGCACCAAGGACTCTCAGACTTTGAGAAACAAGATTCTCTGGTCTGATGAAACCAAGATTGAACTGTTTGGCCTCACGTCTAAGCATCATGTCTGGAGGAAAGCAGGCACAGCTCATCACCTGCCCAGTACCATCCCAAAGATGAAGCATGGTGGTGTCAGCATCGTGCTGTGGGAGTCTTTTCCGCAGAAGGCACAGGGAGACAGGTCAGGCTTGAGTGAAAGCTGAACGGAGATATCCTTAATGAGAACCTGGTCCAGTGCGCTCAGGACCTCAGACTGAGCCGAAAGTTCACCTTCTAACAGGACAATGGCCATAGGCACACAGCCAAGACAACGTGGCTTAAAGACAACTAGTGAATGTCGTTGGTGGCTCAGCCAGAGTCCTGACTTGAGCCCAAGCAAACTTCTCTGGAAAGATCTGAAGATGGCTGTCCACTGAAAGCCCCCATCCAACCTCACAGAGCCTGAGAGCATCAGCAGAGAAGAGTGGCAGAAAATCCACAAATCCAGGTGTGCAAAGCTTGTCATGTCATACCCAAGAAGACTCAAGGCTGTAGTCACCTCCAAAGGTGCTTCAGCTTAATAAAACCAAAAGTGACACACTTGCAAAATTATTCCTATGTTAAATTAAACAAATGGCACTACTCAAATAACAGACTAACACCTCTATATTTTAGACATACTGAATGATGAATGAGCACATGGGGCACAGTTGGGATGAATTGGACTAATTATTAAAGTTCCCAATGCCCATTAATGGATAATAAAGTTGCGAATAAATCAAAAGGCTGAGTACAGTGGGTGAGAACACTAAGGATCTCTCTCACTGTACTCAGCCTTTTCCATATGGAAATTATAACTGGTTTAGGACTTTATACACACACGTGGCCAAGCTCCAGTTCCATTTCCAGAAAAAGTCCTTGTGTAATTATCACTGATCAATAACCTATTTTTGCAGTTGCATGTGTAGAATTGTGCAGATGCAGAATGTGTGTAGAGCTGTTATACATAATACTCACCACAGTGGACCAAAGTTTTTCTTTGAGCTCCCGAAAAATACAAGCACTGACATGGTGTTCTGCCTTAATAAAAAGCTTGACAAACTCAGCTGTCCCTCTGTGATCCACGGCTCGGATAAATGTCAAGAATAGATGAGATGGACAGATAGAGAGGGATGAAGAAGAATCAGGCTGTTAGACTAATGGACAGAGACAAAGGGGCATCTGCTGAGACGACGAGAGGCTCTGCTGAGTTTAATCCACAGAGAAGCAGAGGAAACAGACCTGCTGAGGTGATCCTCATCCCTCTCCACTATTTCCTCATCACACGCTTTCTTTCATTACCTCATCTCTTTTTCTCTACCTCCCTTATTTATTCTTTATCACTTTACCCCTTCTTTTCCTTTTTTCCATGTTTACTTTCCTTCAGCCCTTTCTTCCCTCTATGTCTATTCCTTCCTTCCCTCACTCCTGGTCCTTCCTTCCCCATAGTGTCTCTTTCCTTCCTCCACTCTTTCATTTCCCTCC